TCATCAAGCTCTTTCTTGATGTCATCCTTTATGCCTATCGGGCATCGTCGAACTGCATGTATCACAGGAGCCGCATCTTTGTCGATCACGATGTGGTATTTCCCATCAAATTTTCCGATTCCATCAAATCTATCGGGATACAAAGTCTTCAAATGCTCTCTATCTTTGATGGGACTATCATGGCTCTCCATCAGACTGCAATTCAAGACTACTAATCCTAGATCCAGGCACAACTCAAGTCCAAGGATGGCTGGTCTTTGAGTCTTCACCACAAAGAATTCTCCATTTGCTTGTCTGTCCTGGTGGTTACAGCTCAGCGTATGTAGGCCTACTTGTGGAATAACACTCTTTTCACCATAGCCTGTTATCGTTATCGGTGACTTTCTTAGCTTTCCTGTGATAGGTTCCCCATTAGAGTCCACGCGATCAGGGTACATCTTCTGATAAATGCGTAATGGAAGAATGTTCCCTTCAGATCCTGTGTCAACTTTGGCTTTTAGAGTCGCTGGTCCTCTTCCGATCTCAACTCCGATCACAGCGAAGGCTTCGTTCTTTCTGATCTGGTCTACACAGATGGTCTCAAACCGCATGTCGTCAGTTTCTTCTGTTTCTTCCTCTTCTTTCATCTCATGGAGTCTCTTTGATCTCTGTGCTTGCGACCTTTTCGGATATGTCTTTGTAGCTTCTTGTTTCCTTTGCCACTGCTGTTTAGATTCTTGTTCCTGTTTCTTCAGTCGGCAGCATTTCTCCCAGTGATGCATTTTATCACAGTTTCTGCATTTGGTGCCATAAGCAGGGCACTTCCTCGGTGGATGGTTCAGTCCACAGAATGAGCACTGTTTCTTCCTTTGGATATGTTGCTTCGTCATATCAACGTTGACGGCTTGACCATGAAGGAGTTTCATATCCGCCTCAGTTGCCTCCTGGGTTCTGGCGATGTCCAAAGCTGTATTTAACGTCAGTTTCTCATCCTTGGCCAACAATGTTTGCTGTACCTTCTTGCTTGAGGTGCCAATGACGATCTGTTCTATGAGGCGACCTTCAAGTTCAATGTCCGCAAACTTGCATTTTTGTGCTTGTATTTTGCATCTGGCCATGAAGTCGTCTATGGCTTCGGCTGGTTCCTGTGCCAATTTCTGCAGCTGAAATCTTGCCAGACGGAAATTGGTCTTTGGTTCGAAATGTTTTATGAAAGCTTCGAAGACCTCAGCTGGGGTCTTGAAGTCCTTTCCCCAGGATTTGTGAATCCTGATACCCTCTTGACCCAGCCACAACAGGATGTATGTACATTTCTCTTGGTCAGACTTCTTGTTAAGCGGCCCTGAAAATATCAACTCACAATAGTATTGAAAATTTCTAAATTCAGTCGGCAAATCTTTGGATGCCCAATCCATGCAGGGAGGGTTGATTCCTGTCATCTCTCCCATGTTGTTTGTTTGTGTGTGTGACTTTGTAACAGCCAATACTACTACTAGAGTCTAGTCATATTCAGCCTTATACATAAAGGAGTAAGGTCATATAGTGTGCCTTATCCTAATATACAAATAGGAGTAGGGTTACATTAAAATTCACACGTACCCTATCCTGTGTTATCAATACTGCAATGAGACAAAATATCTATGGCATTTGTTATACTGCATCGCAACAAACATCATCAATAATACAATTCCAAAGCAATTTATTCCTTTGCCAGTCCAACTCTTCCATGTCTCTATTAAATATAAGCCGGTCCTTCAATACTATCCATGGATTTACTCACATTAAATGATCCTGGTCAGGTTGGTGATTCAACCATTCTATTCAAACATGTGCAAATAATGAATTCAGCAAAGCGTCCATTATTTCAAAATGTTAAATCTTGATTAAAATCTAGTGTCTCTCAGTTCAAGTTCATATCTTATTCCACGGAGATCTGTATTCCCAGGTTTCACTCTCATATAGGTCTATAGTATGTAGACTAGGTGTCGATCGAGGTGTCCAGCTCCAGCGACGTCGTCGATCCTCCCGATGAGCTCCGAGTCCGTGTGGCTCAGTTCCAAACCAAAATGCAGGGCTGGGAGTATAGCGCCCTAGCTGTACTGTACTGTTCCCGGTCCCGGTCGAGCCTCTAGGCTCTGCTCCTGACGAGCCTCTAGGCTCTGCTCCTGGCGAGCCTCTAGGCTCTGGTTCTGCCTCCGCATCAAGCTGGTCCTGAATGTAGGGCAAATAATCACTTCTCGATCAGTGCTGTGCTATCGGACGATAGGCTCACTCGGTCTCAGTTCGTATGGGGTTTAAAATCTCATATTTGCGACTCACCAAATAATCAGTGTCGTTTTCTGCAGTACTCAAACGTCCCTCAAATATATCGCTGACCTGTTCAGAGCTTCACCTTTCTCAGTTCAAAATTCATCTCAGCGGAATATCAGTCCAAAATCGTTGTAGAGGAAAACTAACTTGCTCAAATCGCGAAGTTTCCGTCATTCACGTCAATGTAAACAATCGACTCACACTGTTCCGTTCAAAATTCCTCCGCGGTTAGCGCGCGTAATTTTTCGTACGTGCTAGTCAGTTCCATACCGCATATACACACGAGCCAAATTAGCACAGGGGGTCGATGCGCGTAAACGAAATCCCAACCTAGGCCTGGCCGGTAAACGGTGCTTAAATTGTCCATAAAATCCAAATCCGGGCTCCACCTGCACTCAAATTGGTCTAGCAAAGTCCTGGCACCGCTGCCACCATGTAAAGTGTTGTACACTAATTATGATTTATAATAAGAGTCTTCTTGAGGCTGGATTTTGTAGAACTCAAATATGAACAACTTGTTGTATTGATTAGATGTATGTGAAGCCGCATTACAATCTGCGGTAGCAATAATCATGGGCATATGATATAGGTCATTTGTTGAACATACATGTAGATATAAAATGATATCATATCACATTAGTATGATCCAATATAAGGCTATTATTCTTTATTTAATTCAGTATAATGCTTTTCCTCAAAAATAGTTTTGCTATTTTTGTAGGGTCGAGACGCTAAGAAATGGTTTCAAATGTACATTACACGAACCCTGAACCATTGCAAAATGATGGTGGTTCTCTCTCTCTCTCTCTCTTTCTTTATTTTAATTATGCATTATCAACTACATATAAAGCAGCAACCAAAAACTTAGGGTTATCTGAGAAAGGTGAAAGTAAGAGTTAAAAAGAAAGTCATGCTAAAACGGCGCTTCACTTCCCACCGCCCCCTGAAAAAAATAAAATAGATTAGTAGTCCTCCTCTCCAGAATCCACCTCCCCCCCCCCCCCCGCTTTAATATCACATTTTCACTTGGCAGCCCAAGGGGGCCGGGGGGTGGGAGGAGGGGGTTAAACCCCCTACCCCCACCCCCTGCCGTAGATCTGCCCATGTTACCATATCATTCCACGACATTTTGGTCTTCCTCTTCTCCTCAAAAGGGACTTTTAGATTTGCGTGGACGTGGACGTGTTACGTCCTTTTAAGGCACTGGCAATCACATGTGACGTCCTTTTAAGCACTGGCAGTGCCTTAAAAGGAGGTCACACGTTGCAGTCCACGTTCTCATCGTGCAAATCTAAAAGTCCCTAATATTGATTTACTGGTCGAGGTTCATTATTTGCTGACAACGAAAAACTTCTCCAGGCCATGACCATGTTTCTGCCCTTGCCCGATCGCCTCCAGCTCCAGCAGACATGGCGCGGCAGCGTGCACACGCACCGCTACTAACGGCGCAGTAGGCCTATAACCACTGCTGACGGCGGCACTGCACTTTTCTCCGTTTTCTTCCTCTAATGATTAAATGAAACGTAAAAGCTTCCGCGCTTTGCGCGGGAGGGGGGGGGGAACCTGAATTCAGACGAGGATTAAGAGTCGAGAACTGTACAACGAATCGTTTTCTTCCTCTAATGATTAAATGAAACGTAAAAGCTTCCGCGCTTCGCGCAGGAGGGGGGGGGGGGGGCTGAATTTAGACAAGGATTAAGAGTCGAGAACTGTACAACGAATCGTTTTCTTTCTCTAATGATTTAATGAAACGTATAGCTTCCGCGCTTCGCGCGGGAGGCGGGGGAGAGGAGGGATAGATCTACATTGTGTCACTACCCATTCATATTGCTTAAGTTATTCAAATGTAATTCAAATAGCTGTTTGTTGTAAGCTGAGTTAATGGCTCACTGTGCTGAAGCATTGCTCTTCCGTTACTTTTTGCATTTTTTATTACTAAGCTGCGCGGTACTATTTTCGAGATGCCCGATTTACCCTAACCAGGGACGTGATAGAGAAGGACTGGAATCAAGCCGCTCTCCTTTGACCCCATGCTCCAAGCCGCCGAAAAGTTATGCGCTAATCTGCAACTGTTGACCAGGTGGTGAGATAAAAGAGCGCCTGAAATTTCAGGATTTAGAATTCCTACATCAGAAATGGTATCACAGCAACTGTTCGCTGTCCCTTTCAATGATTTCTCATCATTGTTAGATGTGTAATCGGACTAGAACAAGCGAACACAAACTTGTGTAATTTCATCCTTTTTCCAACTGCAAAAATACAGAAAACACGCGAAAACACGCATTAGCCAACTTATAGTTATCGATGGTTGTATTATCATGGATGAAATAACGGGGCACTAAAACACGCACAAAATTATTAGCGCATTATCCTAAAATATTGAGATTTTGTCAGGATCTAATTTTCTTTTACCAACTCTGGCACACAAATTATAGGAAGGGCGGAGTAGTAAATTGGACAAATTGTTTGATGCACTATTCCCATTACATTTCCCATACAAAGTTTATAATTTACACTGAAATTTTGCCGGTAATTTGATATTGTGTAATAAATGTGAAACTGGTGCATGGCCTCCGAAATTCCCCGCAGTGGAAGCATGGTCAAACCGCATGATTTCGACAAGAACAGTGAAGGTGCTAGGAGTATTTACAGTTGCTGTAGATCTAGTCTTGTCTTTTTAATATTTTAATTTTTTCTGCTCATTCCAACAGGTGCAGAAGGAGACATTGTTGCTTTGGTGACTGACAAGGTATAAGTTATGCGCGAACAAAAATCAGGGGCGTCAATTTACTCTGGACCCACGCTTAGCGAAATGTGTTTCACTTTAAACAAACAGAACTTTGTTATTCCTGGCTCATTTTTCCTGATTAAGGTGTCATATGAAAGAGCAGAAACTGAACTTTCTAGAAATGTTAATTTTTTTTCGAAATTTTGATACCGCCCGCCAAATGACTTTTTGGTTTCCTTCCTTTAAATTGCTTTTAATCACTCATGCGTGAAATCTAAGCTTTAAAAATATGTGTCATTTATTAATTATAATTGTGATTAAGTTATGATAAAACATCGATAATTCTCGGTTTAATTTTGTCTGGGTCGCAGTGTCGCACTGTATATATATATATATATAGGCGTGAAGAAAATGGTCTAGAAACGTGAGACGTAGCTGTACTTTACAATTTTATGACGAGATTTCGGCTTGTGAGGCCTTCTTATTAAATTGTAAAGTACAGCTACGTCTCACGTTCCTAGACCATTTTCTTCAACCCTATATATATATATATATATATATATAGGAATCACTCACAATGTTTGTTCCAATTACAGGTCTTCTTTGATATTACAATTGGAGATGAAAAAATTGGCAGGATTGTAATCGGTGTCTTTAGACAAGTTGTTCCTAAAACAGCCAAGAACTTTGTCACCTTGGCCACTGGTGAGGTAAGCAAGGAATAGTGTCCGTTTTTATATTTGTCATCGATCATTACTTTAAGAAAGCAGGATTCTTGCCAGGGCTTAAAGATAGAGTCAAGTTGTGGTCATGTAATTGCATTGTGAACAAAACTCTCTGGAGGCGATTGATAAATATTCATACGTGTATGTAGCTCATATGTATTTATATGCACTCTGAGGCTTTGGAATCCTCAAAAGTCAAAGGGATAAGAAATTGACTCGGTCTTGCTCAAAGTGAAATGCACTGTAATAAAATTATGTATGGAACTACATTGCATGTGGCATGAAAGTTTGGCCCAAACACTTTGCAGTTATTCAAGTTTTTTATGATATTCTTCCACACTAATATGAAGAAAAAACCGAAATAGCTTACAAATGACTCTTCACCTTTACCAGAATTCAACCTTCTCTTTGACAAGCTGGTGCTAATACTCTATGTATGAGAATGAGAGAATTGAGGAAGCAGCAGAAGAGTGATTCTGTGCATCCATCACCACCACGGCAGCTGGAAAGATGGAGGATGTGATGACCTGAACATTAATCTTTTTGAGAATGTATTGAAGTTTAATCAAATAAAATCCTGTTTTTCTGTGGGTTTACAGAAAGGGTTTGGATACAAAGGAAGCAAGTTTCATCGAGTGATCAAGGATTTTATGATCCAAGGAGGTGACTTCACAACGGGGGATGGCACAGGAGGTAAGCAATTTTATCATATGTGAACATGTATAGTATTGAGGGAAAAATTAGATGATATTTTGGATATCGTGGTAAAGCTACGCGGGGTGAGGAGTGGTAGGGGGTAGGGAACACATATCCTGGGACATACTGTCAGATCACCACGAAACGGCCGGTAGCATCTAGGGGCAATTTTGGCAAGACATAATATAGTCCGGGCTATTTTGAAACTGCATAGTCGGGGGGGGGGGGGATTTTAAGGGCCCCCCCCCCTATGATCTCGGCCGTGAAACGGAAACGGCCGATCGCCTCGAAAATGTGCATGCATGTCAAGTAAAGTGTATAGAATACTAGAATACTATGGTAATTTCAATTTTTTGAAAAATTCACTTGCATATTTATGGTAAAAGTCACATTTTTACCCATCAATCATATATTCTTCATTCATTCATTGTCACTACATATATCCAATTGGAATTAAAAAAATACAACAACAAATATTTGAAAGAGCCAGGTTATTCATTATGTTATTTATTTTTTGGATAATTTCTTTTGTATTTCCATGTTTTTTTAACTCATGTATTTTATTGTTTTTGTTGTTTTATTTCAATTCTAACTATAATTCAATTATTTTGACCCTCAAAACAAACACCTTAATTATAAACAAGACCAAATAACCAATGTTTTATATCTTTTTTTGGGGAAAATTATATTTCCATATCTTTTGTACACAAATCACGAAAATGAGCGATTTTCGGGCTGACATGCAAAGACAAAAGGTCACTTGACTTTGTAACGGTAGGTCCGACTTTCGAAAATTGTTTCAAAAGATGCGCAAGACCCACCGAAAGAAAAAAGTCATAACATTTCAGCCCAAGATTTTGTTTGCGTTAAAAAAAAATTATAGCGAAAATGTAGAGAGGGGGGGGGGGCTTCTAAAGCCCCCTTGCTATATAGGGTTAAGGCCGGTTCACATGGTCAACTGCCTTTTAAAAAAAAATGCAGAATTTGAATTTAAAAAAAAAATACTTTCGAAGGAAATGCCAAGTGGGAATGCAAAAAAATGAACCACATGCAGCATAGGCCCCAATTAAACCACACCCACCTATCGACCTCGTGTCATAGTTGCAGAACTATGAAGCACACCGTTCTCGTTTCAATTTATTTATCTTGTTATTTATTGTATGTATTTATTGTTTAATATTTTTCCTTCAGGTAAGAGCATCTACGGTGACAAATTCCCTGACGAGAACTTCAAGCTGAGCCACTACGGTGCCGGATGGCTGAGCATGGCCAACCAAGGCGAGGACACCAACGGATCCCAGTTCTTCCTTACAACCGTCAAGACAAGCTGGCTCGATGGCAGGCATGTGGTCTTTGGCAAAGTTTTAGAAGGAATGGTGAGTGTTTAACCCTACACTCTGGGGGTGTCGATTTGTATCCGTGGTTGGGGGGGGGGGGGGGGTGATAGGTTCCAAAATATTTTCGGCAATAGATCAAAGCAACCAAGAGGTAGAAGCGTGTGGCAGGTTGCACCCCCTCCCTTCCAAGTTATTTACTTTTTTCAAGTCACCCTCAATAAAGATAACATTTCAGAGAATACAAGAATGGTAATCAAATTAATAACATGCTAAATGTTAGTCCTGACTCTTGCCTGCAGTGTATATAGGCTTACCAGCCATAAACTTAACTAGTAACGTAATCACTAAGGAAAAAAATAACGTACACTTAGTATCCAGTGATTTCGCAGAGTAGTGTTTGCGTTACTAAACATCTCTTAAATTTGCCCTTCTTTTTTTCTCATCAAGGAAATCTCTTCAAAGTCTTGAACCATTTGTGACACATGTTACATTTTACATCAGTAACAGAACTGAAGAACCACATTGTTTTTTTGACGTGCAGGAATTGAGGGTACATGTACCATCTATTTTGACTGATTAAAAAAAAATGGCAGCAAAACTGATCATGAAGATGTCGACATTCTTTTCAAAAGAGGACAACTAATGGAATTTCAAGAAGAATGTGCTGTTTGACTCATTTCGATTTCCATATTATTAAAATCATATGAAAACAGTAAACAATCAACTCATATGTTTCATGCAATATCTCTTTCAAGGTTATTTCTTAAAATAGTAATCTAATGGGCAATTCCACGGTAACGGAAGGACACTCAGACAAGATTTTTGAACTTCAGGTTCATACTAAAAGAAATGTTTTATTAGTATGTATTAAACTATGGGGAACAAAATGTGTTTCAGTCAAGTGGAAAGCTTCATCAACTTCACAAAGTTTGGATAAACACTAATTAACTGGAAAAACCATGTCCATTTTTATGTCCTTCCGTTACCGAGATAATTAATATGCACATTCTTAAACTACTTAACTATAATGACAATTTTTTTGGGGAGAATTAAAGGCACTTATATAGGTATTATATCTGTACTGTTTCACATCTTATACTAATAAAACAGTTCTTTTAGTATGAACCTGAAGTTCAAAAATCTTGTCTGAGTGTCCTTCCGTTACCGTGGAATTGCCCTAATGATAAGCACTGATTAAGGTATGCTGACGTCAGCCAACGAAGGGAACGAAAATCATATTTGTGTATACAATGTGGAACATGGAGTATTAAACTTTTTTGGGGTATAAGACTCAGTAGGAAACTATTGTAAATGAGTGACAGTAACAGTTCAATCAAAAATTCTTTAAAATCCTGAAGGTAAAGACTGATACTAAAAAAATTCACAGGTACTTGTTAATTTTATTTTGTTTTATTAAATTTTTGCAGGATGTCGTGAGAAAGATTGAAAATATGAAGACGGGGGATAATGACAAACCTGTAAAAGACTGCGTCATCGCAGACAGCGGCACTATTGACGTTGAGAAGCCTTTCGCTGTCGCCAAGGCAGCATCCGATGATAGTAGTTGGTAGATGGAGTAGTTTAGCTTAGAAATCAAAGTGTATGACCTCGATCCCTGATTGTTTGACCTTGGTTTTGGGGTGTATATAATTTCAAACTTGTCCATCATATCTGATTCTAAGGAATACATCTGTTTTAGTCAGTGTGTTGTTGTTCTCACATTCTTAAAAAGTATAGGTGGAAATTCATCTAGATTCCTTTGAACTGTCAGGTAGCTAATAGTTACTGCAATGCTTTATCCTCTTCCATGGTATTAACAACTATTTTGCACGCAGAAAGAAACGCTGAAAAATGAACATGCATTTGCATGTAAGTGTATCATTATAATTATTCATATTGTTTTATTACATCTTGTGAAATAGTATGCATTTAAGCTTTTGGAACTTTGTGTGTGCATTTGTATGAAAGAAAGCATTTGGAACTTGTTATGCACATGACGCCTTGTCGAATACTCGAATACTCTTTTTATTTTTGTTTAACCTTTTATACAGTAATGAGAAAATTATCTGCAACTTAATCTAACCAATTTTGTTTTTAATCATGTCAACCACAACCTTTCTAAAGCTGATCAAATATGGGACACGCACGGCCAGGCACTAGTGTAGGAAATCTTTAAATGTTAACCAGTTATATGACAAAATAACTTGTCTGTTGCCTTACGAAAACGTATATATTTAGTCAAGCCTGAATTGAGTGGCAAAACAATTATTGTGTTAAAAGGAAAAAACTAATTTGATGACATTCCAAATTCCCCAATAACCAATACGATTGGAGAGTGAGTTCCCGTTTTTTTTCTTTTTCAAAACTTACTCAATAAACAAAATATTGATAGCTGGCCCGGATACTTCAGCCTCTCACGAAACGCAAGTAGGTGTCTCAGGCCCAGGCCTGAGGTGTCTTTCCATTTTCATGTTGTTGCTCTTTGTATGCTATTTTGTACGAGAGGGTGGAGTATCCGCCTATACAACTTTAATCGTACAAAAACTACAAGTTGCCCTTTTTAGCATGTTTGTTCCAAATAACCTGCTACGTATAACTTTGTAAAAGTGATATAATAAACAACCAGCCTTTTTCCTCTGGTTCTGAACTTCACTTGTAATCATATTTAAGTTATCATATAACAGGTCAATAAAGTCTACTTTTTGAATCCTGATGGGATTATAAGCACATTCTCATAACGGAAGACTGAAAAGGCCTTTGAAAAGTAACATAAGTATATCATCTATATATGCGTGCGAGCGTAGCGAGCGAGCTTTGGGAGAAATTGCTCTTAGTCGCTTGAAATTTGTGGCGCGTTTAATAATGAGAGGAAAAGGGGACACTTATCAGAAAAGAAAAGGAGCATGTGTCAAAGTACAAAGAGTAATTATCAGAGGTGAAAATATCATAGGATTTCCCGGCCAAATTCGCGAGTTTGTCATTCGAATTCATTTACTTTGCATTTAAGATAGCGCAGATCAGCTTTACCATGCCAACTATCATTCAATTTTCCCGATTTTGTATTTAATTTAGGATTTTGGTCGAAGGATTTCATAGATCTGTCATTCAATTTAGAAACTGCTCAACTAGCATTCAAATTAATCGGCACTTGTCGAGGCGTCATTTTTATCATTCAAATTAACACCTGTCATTCGTATTCGAATTATGTTTATTCAAGTTAGAAATGTGGAGAAGAAATGCAACACACGTTTACAGCTTTAAGAAAATGCAATTAAATACATGATTTGCCATTGGGGTCTTTCTGTTATTTAATTTATTAATTTTGAGGATAAAGCATATGTTTGTAGTCAGACATTAGGTAAAGAAGGGGCGACATCAAGGGATATGGCATCTCTGAACGGACATGTTCATATACCCCGGAAAAGTGGGGATACAACAACACCTACCCCAGTCACAATATTGTACCCTTTCTCCATAATGAAATTGTGATAAATTTATGATGAAACACAAGACAGACATCTTCCTTACATGAAAGTTTACACAAATATTGAGACCATCAAGTCCGTAGATGTAAGTCTTTTTTCTTAACAATCAAACTTAAAGGCTGATGAATATCTGATAAATCTAAAAGTATATAAAGAGTATAAATGCAAGAAATAAAATAGGATGAAATACACATGAAAAAACGATCTTGAAAGAAAAAGAATGAGCTATATAAAGTGTTTAATAAACGAGAAATGTATATTGACCATTAATTTTAGTGCACATAGTGCTAATTTGAATGCTAAAAATGAATTAGAATGCTAGAAGTACACCGTCGCGATGTCAGACAATCGTGTTGCGCTAAATCGAATGACCAAATAGCGAAAGAAGCACTTTGTTCATCAATTGGAATGAAACATACATAGATTCTATCGAAAACTTCATAGATTTGAAATCTAGAAAAAGGAATATAAACCCGAGACATACACGACAGCACTAAAACCGTCGATTTGAACGCAAGACAAATGAATTTGAATGACAAACTCGCGAATTTGGCCGGGAAATCCTATAATAATAATAATAATAATCTTTTTAAAGTCCACTCCAAATGTTATTAAACCGAAAATTGAAATTCTTTTTGCCCAATTGATCGTGAGCCCGGCAGCCACTGAGCAGCGCCAGATCGACGTTGCTCTATCCCTTTAATGTTGAACGCCAAACAAGGTAGCAGCAACTCCCGTCTTTTAACGTCTTTTGGTATGACGCGGCCGGGGTTCGAACCCACCTACCTTCCGGTAGTGAGGCGGACGCTCTACTGACTGAGCCAACACACCGGTAAATGGGGCACTTCTTATACCATCAAAAGAGTCACTCGCCAGGGATGAAAAAAGTCAGTAGTGAGAATAGGAAATGGGTATTTGTCGACGGAAAAGGGGCCCAGATCAGATTTCGATAGGGGTATTTATAGGAGGTGAAAAGGGGCATTTATGAAAAGGGGATAGGTCCCTTACTAGAAAGGAAAAGGGGCACGTATCACTGTTAAAAGGGAAATTGTCAGAGGTAAAAAGAGGCACTTATTGCACCTGAAAAGGGGGGCAATGACCAGATATGAAAAGGGGCACTTAAATGAATGAAAAAGGGGCACTTAAAATAAAGGAAAATGTGCATTGGTTGAAAGAAAATGGGCACCGATCAGATTTTAAAGGGGCAATCAGAGGTTAAGGGGGCACTTATCTGAAATGAAAAAGAGTAACTTCTAGTACCTGAAAGGGGTCATTTATCAGAGAAGGGGGACTTATGAGAAGGGGAATGGGCTCTTTTTTAATGAGGCACTTATCATTAGGAAAAGGGGCATTGAAAGAAAATGGGTACCGATCAAATTTTAAGTGGGCATTTATAGGAGGTTAAGGAAGCACTTATCTGAAGTGAAAAGGAGTAACTTCTCGTACCTAAAAAATGTAATTTTTCAGAGAAGGGGCACTTATGAGAAGGGGAACGGGCTCTTTTTTATGGGGCAGTTATCATTAGGAAAAGGGGCATATGTGAAAATATAAGGTGCGCTTATCGGAGTTAAAATGGGGGAAGTTATTAAAAGGGGAAAGGGGCACTTATTACAAAGTAAAAGAGGCACTTCTCAGATTTGAATAGGGCAAGTATCAGAGGTGAAGGGGGCACTTACTAGAGATTAAAAAGAGCACTTATGAGAATGGAAATTAAAGGACACTTATTGCAAAGGAAAAAGGTAACTTGTCGAAGGAAAAGGGGCACGTGTCCAAAGGAGGGGGCACTTATTAGAGTTGAAAAGGGGAAGAGGCACTAAAAAAAATTAATAGGGCATTTGTCAAAGTACAAGGGGCACTATTCCTATGTAAAAAGGGGCACTTCTTACAAAGTTAAAGGGGCACTTTTCCTATGTAAAAAGGGGTACTTTTAGGGTGCTTGAAAAAGTAGAGGGCACTGTGCCCCCCTGCCCCCCCCCCCCCGGGAGGGCCGCTTCTGAATGAACTGATTAGATTTTAGGGTCATGAGGTCAAAGATCAAAGGGTCATACCAGGACCATGACCATGGTGACACCCAAATAAACTAACCTTATTCATTACCGAACAAAACATGAAGAAGGATCCCCTCGACAACATAGGTGTAAATATACATTTTCTTTGGGAATGTAGAAACATTAGCCGTTACAATGCTCTGTATGGACTTCCAAATCTCAGAATGTTCTTCTGGTGGAAGTAAAAGCCTGGTGAAAGCCCTCCCCTTCCAACGTTCTGAACAAGATGTAGGTGTTATGTTTCGATATGCCACATGCGTAGGATATGCTTTTGCGCCATTCTTGCCCCCCCCCCCACACTGTAAAAAAATAATAGTCGAAATAACTCAATAAAATTGAGGAAAAGAATTGCCTTATTTTTATTAAGTAAATATTACCTACGGCATCTTAAGTAGAATTTACTTATTTTGCTGAATAAATTTTTACTCAGTTAAATCGAGTTACATTAACGTAAATAATTTAAGTATTGTAATCATTTTAGATAATTAAAAAAAAAAGCTATGAAAGGATTACATATTGCACGATTTGGTACCCATCTGATCTAACAAGTAACATCCACTAATCATTCACTACTTCTATTTAAGATTAATCACTAATCACTAACACTACTTCTATTTAAGATTAAGATTCGACACATATTGAAAGGCTCCAAATGTTATATATACTTGATCGTAGCATCTTAAAAGGAAAATTGGTTGACAATTTCCTGAAATATCAAGTTTTGATTTGTTTTGAACTGGGTAACAATTAAAAATGGTCTTGTCTTTGCTTAGCCATGTTAAATGAATCAGTAAATGTTTTAAAGTCCTTAAATTTTGATTCAACGACAAAAAAGAATTGTTTTATTTAAAAAAGAGTTTAATTTGGTCTTAATGAATATTCATAAATTATGTAAATATTTCTATTACGCACTGCATCGGTCCTTACTTTAAAAAGATAAGAATAATCAACATAAATTGTTTGAGTAATACGTATAATTTCTGATTTTGAGTTAAAATTACTAAATTAATACAAGCTGAAATTACTTAAAGTTCTTATGTATTTGACTTTACTTAAATATTCCACGTATGTTCTACTAAATTGAAAGTTTGAGTTAGCAAGACTTAAATTTAGTGCGTAAGTGGCAAAACTAATGTTTTCAAGTAAATTCTACATGGAAAAAATACGTAAAAATTACCAATGAACAAATTATTTTTTACAGTGCAACGAGACCAAGCGCCAGATGCGCCACTGATCACCACTGACACAGCTGACCCGACACAGCAAGATATCTATGCGTATCTTTCTTGCTCCCTCGACGAGACGATACCACCCAACAACCCCCTCTCTCCTTTACTCTCACCCTTCCCAGGGGCGGTTCTAGCTTTTTGCTAAGGGGGGGGGGGGGGGTTAACCCAGTGGCGAGTCCAGGATTTTCCAATTTTACTTATTTCCCCTTCTATTCCCCCTTTCCCCCTTTTTCCTCACTTGGCCGCTCAAGGGGGGGGGGGGGTTTAAACCGCCGTATTCCCCTAGATCCGCCCCTGCGGATCTAGGTCATCTGACCGTAATTAAATGCCTAAAACCCCTGAGCTTTTGGGGCCCGGCCACTATACCCCAAGCCAATTAGTAACATGCAGGTGTCACTATGTGCTCATCTGACCGTTATTAAATGCTTAAAACCCATGAGCTAATTCCGAGGGCTCCGCTCTTTGACCACGACGGGGCTTCGCCCTGGACCCCGCGCCAATTTACGCTCCATTCGCTTCGCTTGCTACGCTCTACTTGATCGTAAATAAGTTAGCCCCCCCCCCCCACTTTGAAAAACGTTTCGCGGGCATAGGCGCCGGAAGGGGGGCAAAACGCATTTTTGTCCCCCAACCCCCTCCCTCCAAAAACAATAACAACAGTATTAAGGAGTAAAGATGTTTTGTATTTTTAACCCAAAAGAACATAATAATAAAAACCGGAATTAAATCACATATAAAATTCTATTCAAAGAAAAGAAAAGTTAACAGGAATTTCCCAAACATTGCGCATGCCACCTATATTTTTCAATGAAGGTTTTTTTTATCATAATTTTTCGATACGCGCAAATCGTGGACGATATCGTGAGAGAATAGGAAAGCGTGTGTGTTTTTTGTTATATGGGTGAGAAGACATGAG